ACAAAGCAAGCTCAACTACTGTATCTGTTTGCGGGCCTTTTACGTCGTATTTCGCTGTGTACACAGATCTCGACGTGTGACAGCTGCCACTGTCGTTGCTGTAGCTGTAGAACAACCACGACGACAGGGTCACTACAGTGGATGGTGAAAGTGCTGATGGTGGTGCTAAAATTAGCTCATCTGCGTTAACATTGAGCGTGTTGGCAACTATGGTATTCCATGTTAAGTTGTTCTTTGATGTTACCCGTCGTCTTCTTTTCGACAATTTTCGGGCCAAGTATTCGGGGCAAACTTGGGAGGCTTACATAGTTAGGGAAATGGATTGATGATTTAGTTCCTCTGCAGCTTTGATCTCTTCGAATCTCTCCCCCGGCCTCAGGCGGCGATGCCCCCGAGCTGCTCTTTCGCATGAGCGATGGCTCCGGCGGCTGCTTCGGGGCCTCGGAACCCGATTCGCAGTCACAGGATGTCGGGGTTTTAATGGCGCCTGTGCTTGAGGGCCTTCATTCGGAATCGATCTTCGCTGTTGGGGCTTATGGTTTGCGGCTGTGGCGTTTAGGATCCACAGCGTCCTTCATAAGTCTATTAGGGCTGAGCTTCGTAAATGTCGTGTTCAGCAGGGCTCAGCCACGCTACAAGCAGCCAACGCCATCGCATAGACTGATGCAAGTGGTCGCAGCATTCGGCTGCAGAGACCTCTCTGTGCTTGAGACGCCCATTGAGCCCTTGGCCACCGAAAGCTCGAGCACGCCGTATGGCGCCTCTGCCCACTAAGACAGAGATTTCGTGTTTTGGTTTAAGGGGCTGCTGCCGAAAACGGTTGAGGGGCAGAAGGCTGGTGGGTTTTGGAGCAGGGTCGCGACATAGCTTGTCTTGAAAACATCAGCTTTGTTTCGCATGTCACATTTTGGTGCTGAAGGCCTTACGTCTACAGGACTTCATTCGGAAGCAGCAGGTGTTCACGGCCGAGCCACGCATGGCGCTGTCCAATGGGGAGTCGTCGCCCGAGTCGACGGCCTCCTCAATCAGGGGTTGAAGCTGCCATCTCGCAAAACGACGAAGTCCACCCATGTCCCAACGTACCTCGCCGGCGGCGGCACCTAATCGCGCAGCTGCGCGAGCGCTGGCAGCCTGTGCCTTCTCGGCGCCTCGGCCAAAAGCAACCCCAGGCACATTGAGGAGACTCGAGAGTCGACGCCGACTCTGCATGAACCATGCTGGCGCCAAAGCTTAGTCGTCGGCCACCGAACGCAGCAGCACGCCGTATGGCGCCTTCATGATGGCCCATCACGGATTTCGTTTTGGTTCAAGGGTGTCAAGTCGAGCTGCTGCAATAAGTGGCATGGGGGTTTCTCCCGATTTCTGGGATGCGGAATGTTTTGGTCCCACATGCTAGGCGCCGATCCCTCGCGCACGCGCCAACTCATGATGTTTGTCCATGACTTCGACCCATCCCTTTGGATTGCTCGCTCTGCCTCGGCCATTCAGTTCTACTCAGAAGGCTTCGTGCTACCTCCATTGTTGAAAGGTCTCCCTCTCTCTCTCTCTCCATCTGCCTCGTGGTCTCCGTTGTGTTTTCTGCGATTCGAAGGCAAAAATGAGGTAGTGCGCGGATTCATTGCGGCCACCACAAGACTCGTGGAATGAAGTGGCTTTCCGCTGGAACTCTTTCGAATCCAAACGCATTCTTGTAAGTTGAAGTTGAAGGGTTATCACTTGACAGGGGTGTCTCGGTTCGTTTACGGACTTTCTCTGGAACAGTTCGCCCGAGCTCAAGCAAGTTGCGCATGAGAAAGCTGCGGCCTCAGGACCAACGGCTGTGTAGAAGCTCTGTAGAAAACAAGAGATCGCCCAGCAAGAAGACTGCAGCGTGGCTTTTTTTCAATGAACTCGTTTTCCTTCGTGTGTCACAGGGTTGTTCCTTGAAGAAGCCAGTTTTCTCGGCTGACCCTTAACAATCATGGTCTGTGGTGAAAGACTTCGTTTGCGTAAGTTTACTGCTGAGAGGCTAAAGGAGCTCATTCGGAAGCAGGAGGTGTTCACGGCCGAGCCACGCATGGCGCTGTCCAATGGGGAGTCGTCGCCCGAGTCGACGGCCTCCTCAATCAGGGGTTGAAGCTGCCATCTCGCAAAACGACGAAGTCCACCCATGTCCCAACGTGCCTCGCCGCCGGCGGCACCTAATCGCGCAGCTGCGCGAGCGCTGGCAGCCTGTGCCTTCTCGGCACCTCGGCCAAAAGGCAGTGAAGATATTCGAGAGTCGACGCCGACGCTGCATGAGCAATGCTGGCGCCAGAGCTTAGTCGCCGGCCACCGAACGCAGCAGCACGCCGTATCTCCCCTGCCATGCACATTGCATGCTTTGCACTGCCACCCTTGTGAGAGACGCGTCCTTCATGAAGGATGTGGGAGCTCTGCTAAGGAACATGGGGCCAATCGACCGAAACTTGGATTACCTTGCGAACAGCGTTGTCTCTTTGCTTAGTCGGGACATAGGAGAGAATGTGTTAAAGGTGCCTGCGCAGGTTGCATAAGTTTAACATACTTCGCAAGAACTCAGTCCAAAAGACATCACCCACTCCAGCACAGCTCACTCTCTGTCCAAACAGACCGAACGACTGGATTCTCTCAACCTCTAAACTCTCGCATGCCAGGGAGGGCCCCTGGCAACACATCTGATACATCTTGGGGATCCCTGCCCTCTGGAAACCTCACACTGGCCCAAGCGTGGTGGCAGTACGAAGCGCGGAGCCCATGGGCGAGCTGTCTTCTGGCTCTTCCTGGACGGATGTTTTCAGATTTAATGCTCTTGGCTGCTGCTGGCTTCTACGATCTTCTGCACAAGAGGAAAAGCACAGGCCTTTCGCTTGATGGGAGAAGGAGCCTTGGCATCCGAGGAGTCTGACCTCGACAGCATGGGTTCAAAAAGGGTTCAAAAAGGGCTTCAACCAATGGGGGCTCAGGGCTCAGAGTTCGCTGTCCGGCTCCGGGTTTCGAACAAGGTCTCACCAGCACTTTGTTTGTGACATCTGTTGATCGGCACATAAGAGAGATGATCCCACGACGCTCGGCACTGGTGGATCATCTCATTCAGGTCAAGTCAGCGAAACTGCAGATGCCAACCTTGTTGTGTGCCTTTCCCTGTACGCGCTGAAAAAGTTCAAAATTAAAGCCCAAGGCCAAGGCTAGAAAGCTACCCATTGTCAAGCTGCATAGGTATACTGAAGAGGCCTCAATAGCTAGTGTTGAACTAGTATCCCGCAAGATATTGTATAAATGCAGTACAAAGTACCCGCAATTCCCTTTCAAATTTCATAGGCCCAAAACTGCTAGATATTCCTTCGGCTGGAAGAAGTAGCTTCGGCCATGTCAACTTGAGCTCCCGACGGCAAACCCTGGAAGGAGCGCGATCTCCTTGGTGAGCGTTCTTCAGGGAGTTTTTTTTATCAAACTACTTTAAAGGGCTCACTTTAGGGCCATGTGTGGCCTGGTACGATTCCAGCTTCCTTCGCGATTTTTAGTGCGGGCGGTGCCCATGAAGACATCGCGCAATGGCTCTGGGCTGAGCTGAGTCGGACAGATCTCTACAGCTGCTTCAATGACGTCATGTCACTTGAAACCGGGCTGAAGTGTACAATTGCTTTAGTCGAGACTCTTGTTGAGCAGCATGTTTGTGCCGACGGGAGACACGTCCGGACCTGCAGAACATGCATCACCAACAAGATCAAAAGCAAAAGCACAGCATCTACCGTCGTCACCACCTTCTCAACGCTTACAATGCCATGTTGGCAGTGTTGCTGGCTTGCCAAAGAAATTTATCACGCAGTCCCGGGGAAGCAAAGGAGCAACCGCTTACTGAAGCCTGCGCCCACTACAAGTGCTTTGCAGCTGGCAAAGAGTGTGCAGAAAGATGTTGCGCGCAGTCCAAGAGCAACACGAAGGCCGCTTTTCTGAGCTCCGGACTGAAAGCCTGCCAAGTTCGATTCGTGACTCGTGCAAGTGTCTTTCGCGAGCCGAATGCTTTGGTCACGGTGCTTGGCCACATAGGAAGATAGCTGAAGCAGCCTCTCACTTGTTTCGACCGGCCTGGTGGCTCGCGCCTTTGGGTATAAACGGCAGCGTCAGGGTGTCTGGCCTGGGAGGCAAGCTGGCTGCAGCAACCATTTGCGCTTAGAATGCGTTGCAGGCAGCTTCAAAGTTTGCTCATGCAAGCAGGGGTTCGACAGGCTTCTAGAAGGCGACGCCGACGTTACGGTGAGTCTGCTTGTAGCGGCACAATGCAACACAAGGCAGATTAGAAGCATGACATTCAGCACATCAGGCTCCAGCATTTCCAGGTCCTTCCGGCTCGGCTGAAGTTACAACTGCAGGTTCAATCCTGCACAGGTTCGATGCTTGTCACGGCGTGCTGAGGAACCACCAACGCGCTAAAGAATGGAACGATAGATGCACTTCACAAACGGCGGCCTGGCCCTTGCAGTGTCGAACAAGAGCTTAAACGAGCAGAAACCTCTGGCCTGCGGGAGTTGCCTGCAATCTCTATAGGCTACATCCGCACGGGTTGAGCCCAAACAGCATGTCGGATCATCAAGTGTGCATCTCGGTTGTGAACTGTTTGCAGGGCACGGGTTGGAGGGCAACGTGGAACATGCTCAGCTCTCTGCTGGACATTACGCAATGTGGCCCACACTGACTCTACTATTCGCTTGCATTCCGGGGTGGGGGGGTCAACTGCCACTCCACCCGCAACCACCCAGCTCCAACCTAGTCGGCACTACCAAAGCAGCGTGTCGCACGTCTTCTCTTCATCGGTTTTTTCAGCCCATGGGAGCTGGAAACACAGGAGCGCGCTTGAGATCCGGAAGTGCTGCGGCCCCACATTCGCGGGACCATCTTTGCAGCACTCTTCTCAAGAGGTGGCTCCGTGGAGCAAAGGGTTCTCAATGTAACCATTAAAATTTATCTGCAGGATACAGAGACCTCCTTAAACTCCTTTGCGATCAGACTCTGAATCGAGAAAGGGTTCCTCGGCAGTTTTGAAGACATGTTCAGGTTTCAAGCTGTGTAAGGTCCATCAAAACTCCTCCGCCTACCATCTGCTCTACAACTGAAAACCTTAAAAGACGGCTTGCATCTGCACCAGGTCCTCTTAAGACCCCAAGCCCAGTCCCTCGACTGCCCCCAAACCCCCCCTAACTTGCACTTGGGCTTCTGGGAAAGCGACACCCTCTGTCAAGTCCAGGTGGCGTCGGCAACCTTTGAGGCATCCTCGACCTCACTCGGCATTTTTGCTTTGCGGGCTTAGGTTCTTGAAGCATACGGCCGAAAGCTTGACATCGTTGAGCCAAAAGACCTCTCCCCCCCCCCCCCGAAACCTGAACCCTGAACCAGGAACTCTGAATCCTGAACCCCAAACCCTAACCCCTAAGCCCTAAACCTTCAAAAGGCCCAGAAGTTGGATCATCCCCCCCCCTCCTCAAGTCTGGGATTGCTTCAGCGAAATCACACTTGGCTGGGGCCTCTCAGAATTCCCTCAGAAAGTTAAACTTCAACTAGTAAATGTTTGGAGGAGGGCGGAGAAATATATTTTCAGCACGAATAGCAGGAGAAATCGAAATCGTTATCAGAATTTTGTAGCGCATTTCAGGTCTTTTGGGAGCTTCGGGATGTTGGTATTGCGCTCAGGGATGTTTGTCGGAGCCTGTGGGGGCCTAAGAGGGTTTAGGGTTTAGGGTTTACGGTTTAGGGTTGCTTGGTGTTTCTTGGCCAACGATTTGCATGCCTGCGAGCTGAATGATCTGCTTCTCGATGAACGCCTCAGCTTGGCACAGGGCTCAGGGCTTCAGCTAAACCCTTTGTAAACCCTAAACCCTAAACCCTAGACCCTAAAGCCTAAACCCTAAACCCTTTGAAACGGGTCATGGGCTGCTCAGGGCTTGGGGTCTTCAGCGATCGGAGTTCTACAGTGGACTTCAGGGGCCATCCCGCCGTGCAAGGTCCTGTAAGCTGACGGTGCAGCGTCAGGCTTACACCCTGTCTTTGCAACTTTGCGATGCACCTGGGGATTTGATGCGAATTTGCGATTTTTTATCTTTCTTTATCGTGTCTTCTTGCTTCTCATGCAACTCTAGTAAGAATCATCGTGAAGCAACAAGACCCGCCCCACACAAAACACGCAAAGCAATTCGCAGATCAACTCCCCCAGAGTTCGGCCGAGCATCTTGTGCTTCATGCAAATCCACCCGGCAGGGAATGGCGGGCACGACCTTGACTTCAGAGTCGTCTGTGGAGTCGAAGTCCTGATAGGCAAAATGTACCTTGGCAAGGCATGCCACCCTGAACCCGAACCCTGAGCCCTACGAATCCTTACGTACTTCCCTATATACCATAAACAGCCCTTATATTCAAACTGCCCAACGACTCCGCGCCGGTTTCTCATTGCCTCAACGAAACCTAACGACGTGACAGCCCTCTTTGGTGCGGCCACATCCCCCCTTGTCTACCAAAGTCGTGCCGGCTTCGCCGGCTTAAGCTGGGACCACTAAGCTGTTTGGGCTCCTCGGGGAGGTGAAGTTCTGTCGGCTTCCTCAGGCCTTTAGAATCATTTGCTCGGCCTCCTCCGGCAAACCCGAACAAAACAAACACACGAACTAACCACTTAACGAAGCTCTCAGCCAATCGATGAACTCAACCAACCTGACTGACGAAACCAACCGGCTATCGAAACCAGGTGATCTTGATCTTCGCCTGTTAGCCTGCTAGTGACCGGCAACAAAGTGAAGTCCAGCATTGCACAAATAAACATCGGCCCCCGACCCTGCAAGCCCTAAACCCAACCGCAGCAGACCGGGAGGCTAAAGCCGTGCCGTCGCTGTTGGGCGAAAAGACCAGTGAAGAGCCCGGTGGCGTGGGACGCGGCCCTGGAAAAGGAGGCGCCTGCGAGCAACTAAGGAACTCTTAGAATAAAAGAGCCCCCGCTCAGATACCAAAGAGTAGCAGTAGCAAGAACATTAATTAGGGTTTAGGGATGGTTTAGGGTTTAGGGTTTAGGGTCCAACTCAAGTAGACAAGTCTCAAGAGGCGCGAAGCGCTTTGAGCAAGATTTGTTCTGGCATGTTCCAGCGAAAGTATTGAGTGGTCAAAGTATTTATTTCGTACGGGGTATTTATTTCGTAGGGGGCACAGGGGTTCTCGCAGATAACATACCCTGCTCAAAGTACCACTGCTACTGGGCTCCTTAAAGAGCCTGTGGTTTCTAGAAACCCGCCCGTCAAGCACGAACCTCTACTGCAAGCATTACCTTATGGTAAGCTAAAGCGAACTCTGCCTCTTGTTTGTGACTCTACAGAAATCAAGATCATTCAGCCTTCCAGCGAAGCTGAAAGAAGTGCGCCAATGCGTCAAGATCGCCTTGAAGGGAGCATGCAGGATTGATTATCACCAGGGTCGAGGGCACAAGGTTTAGGTTTACAGCGGGCATTGCTGTGTGTGGTGGGGGTTGCGGCAACGCGAATGAAGGACTCGTGTCTCTCCGAGGAGCTGTCGTGGCCGACATAGATGACGTTTCTGCGCTTGGAAGTGTCAAGCCTCACTTGGCACATGGATGTACCCGTGCCCTGAGCATGTGTCAATCGACACCTGACGCACATTTGAGCCCGTTGTCATTCACAAGAGAATAGTGGTACAGTGTTTGGTACCGTTTATGTACCGCCAAATCAGCTGGTCCTTCTTGTTCTAGGGCCATAATAAGTACGTGTAGTTTTTGGAGCCCCACTGACATGAATGCTTACAAGCCCTGAAACGAGCCTGTGTCAAATGGAGTCCTGGATGTCTCAGCAAGCGCCCGCGGGATATCAGCTCTGCTATGCTCTGCTGGCTAAGACCAGGCGGAATGAATCCGTTTTTGACATCTTCCTTATCAAAAGCAATGGTACTAGTCACAGTTATGATGGCTCTGTGCAGAAGAGCGGCAACGTCATAATGATCTCAGCTGAGCTGCTGGTTGGGCTTATGGCTACAGTTGGGCTACCTATGTGCAACACGTGCAACAAGTTTGAGACAGCTCCCCAAGTACATCGTGGCGGTCCTGGACCAGGCAGCTACGCCTCCGACCGCCGAAGTACCAACCGCCGGGATGAACGTAACCACAGGAAATGGCATTCAGCATGCCACTAAAAACCATGCCTCCTTCCTCACTGTACAACCTTGACAATGGACGATTCCAAGAGTCCTATCAAATCACCCCAGGTCAAAAACCCAAACTTGGGCTTACGGGTGCCGGGGAGGGGGCGTCGGGGGGCAACGTTCCGAGCTCCTTCGCCCAAAGCAACTTCTCCCTAACTCTCCTCAACCCTGGACCGCAACCAACTGCTGGCTGGAACACGGAGAGGACACCACAGGCTTTCTCCGGAACCAAGACGGCCGGTATCTCGTTGATCTCGCAGGTTGCCACAAGAAACTTCAAGGCATTCTGGGTCCATGTTACATGAGAGCCGAGGGCATGAGTTGGCTTCCAGACGAACCCGAAGCCAAGGACGTACTAGTAATGCCTCAAAGAAAATGCCTGACGGACTGCAGCTTCCATTTCCATGTCTGAGACTCGATTTCTTTTTTGGTTTTATCTTCTGTGCTTCTTTGTTTCTTTCTTGCTTTCTTGGATTCTAGGGCTAGGGATTTGATCAAACAGGAGGGTAGGTGATGGAGGGAGACCCGCTATATCCAGAGGGCAGGTGGCCTCTTGCACACTCTGGAGTCCTGCTCGGAATCCTTCATGTCCTGGGGCCCCTGTGGCTCGGTGGGCCGGTTCATGCTCCTCTCGTCATTTTTGCTACAGGTGTCTCTTTCCGTCTCCTCGTAGGTTGTCTGGCGTGTTGTTTCACGTCCTGCTCCTCCTGCTCCTCCTGCTCCTCCTCCTCCTCCTCCTGGGCTGCTTCCACGGGTTCTGCTCGCTTCGCACCTTCGCCATATTGCTTGGGACCCCCGGCATGATGTGTCGCTCTCCACTCAGCCACCAGCCCAGCACGATGAAGGTCATCGTGCTCGCTCTCTCTTTTCACTTGGGCTGCGGCGTAAGCACGGCCTTCTCCAAGAAACAGTATGTCTGCTCTCCGAATTGAGGGAACACCCAGCAAACGACCCGATCGGATTTTGAAACAGAGACCGGTGACCCCCGCCCCCTTTGCGCAGCCGCAGACGGCCGATAAGCTCAGCATCACCCGCCCTGACCGCGATGCGCAAGACTTTGGGCTATTGCTTCCAAGCTGCCCTCTCTTTCTTTCTGGGGGGCATGAGGGCACAGGGCCCTCGCGCGATGCGCGCCCTCTTTCTCTCTCTCTCTCTCTCTCTCTCTCTCTCTCTCTCCCTCCCTCGCTCTCCTTCTTCTCCGACTCCGAGACCACAACCCCGATCGTATTGAGCGAATGGAGCCCCTGGAATAGTTGCGACGATGTTGGGGCGTGTGTCTGTGTGGGTGTGTGTGTGTGTGTGTGTCTTGTTGGAGGTGCCTGCCGATACCAGTATATCCAGGAGCTGAGCTGGTAGATCTGCTCCCGGCTGGCCGGCGCATGCGTCTTGTAGGGAATGCCTGCAAGGTGATGGCACGCAATCGCTGAGTCCATGTCGTTCTTGTTCTGCTATGGAAGTAAATGCATCCTTGCCCGAGCATTGCAACTGGAACTCGAACAGGGGGCGGAGCTTCGTGGAGGGTCCCGAGGGATTACTCCTCTCAGTTTCGATCAATCAATGGCTATGGATGGAAGCGAGCAAGCGTGGCAGAGACATGCTATAGCCCATCGCGCCTGATGCATAGGCATACAGGAGGTTCTGTGCAAAGAGTTTCATCACTCCAGGTGCTCCAGTCAGCTGACCGTTCGTCTTGTTAAGGTACGGTGGGCTGGCCAGGTCCTGGAGAGAGTCTGGCGTTTGGTCTTCAGGGTCCGGATTGGCTGATACCTCTTGGGACTTCGGGACTCAGACTCAGACTCCCCCAATCCCTAAATCCGTGGCTCAAGAGAGACTCTGCATATTTTTGGTTTAGGGTCAAACCCCTCGAAACTGTCGAAACTCCAAAACCCTTCATTCTTCTCGGCCGCGGCGGCCTCAGAGGTTGCGACAGAGATCCCCTCCAGCAACTCTGTATGGACCCGCTATGGACCTTGAAAGGACCGCCATGGGCCTTAGGGAACCTGCAAAACTTGCTAGGGATGCCCCTCTGACCTCAGGAAACTCCAGAAACCCAACCGTAGACTTGACGGGGACTTCAGAATCCGCCCAGGCGTATGAGACATCAGGGACCTCTGTGAGGCCCTTCCGAAAGGGCCGAGGCGGTCGACGTGCAGCCGCTTACCGTGAAAGCTCCCACCGTCAACGGCCCCGCAGCACCGATTCCGATGAAGCTCTCCATCAGCTCCAGTACTTCTGTGTACCTTCCGTCCGGTTTAGATGGGCCACTCGTGTCTGGGGGCTGAAGTTTGACGAGGGTTTCGGGGTATTCAGGACCTCATGACGTCTGAGCAGGCCAATTCATAGCTGAGTCCCGCCCACGTCTACCCCAAAACCCCAATCCCTGACTTGCCTGAAGAGATACCGTCCTGTGCAAATGCATGTAACTACACAGTCACAGTTGTATACATGTGCAAATTCTAGAAAAATGCGAACTCCAGAAGCCAGAAGCCCCAAACCTGTGCACACCCCACTCCAGGAGAGGGCCTTGTCTGATTCATGTCGCCAGCGAGGCCGATGCCCATTGGCATGGGCGTCGTGTCCAGCCGCCTCTGCTTCTGCGCTGAAACCTTGGAGGAGTGGAGTCAGTGCAGTTGAAGCCCCCTGGCTTATGTCAAATTGGGTTTTCATAGACAACCCATCCGCATGCTTGCCTCTGCACGTGATTCTCCATTAGCACCTAAAAGCCCGCGACTTCACTGTACATTTCATGACTCCCAATGCCCTTAAACCATCCTAGCCTCTAAGCCCCTGCTACCAGTTGCTGTGCCGCGAAAGGCTGCCGCTGCGTGGCAAGCTGACCGTCAGCAGCATCACCTGAGTCATTGTGGTCGAAGAGTTGCAAACCGACGCGTGATGAGACTGCAAGCACAAATGCTTCTGCACACCGAGTCCACGCGGTGGTCCAAAAAAGATTCCGACTGAGGCTCTCACACACTCCCTTGCCATAATTTGGCTCATTAGCGTTGAAGAGCAATGGAAAGTACTCTACCTGGCTGCATCACGGAACAGTGACTCATTGCCCATCATATTGCTGTTTTGCATGCGCCTCTGTGACAGCGGTAGCTCAAGCTGTAATTAAAGCTGCAAAAAGGAGTTCCTTCAATTCGGGTGGACGTGTTTTTGGTTGTGATGAAATGGCTCTAGGCTGTTGTCACTGCAGCTTTTGCTTGTCCATGCATCAAGGCGCCTTGCTAACGTAGATGCCATCCTTGTCGGCAAGACCCGTCAGAAGGGAGTTTGCAGTAGTGGCATCTCGCTGATCCGTGTCCACGAACCTCAGCGCAAGGACTTTGGGTGCCAGTGAGCAATCGACGTGGTGGCTTCTAGGGTCGAGGTGGGTTTCCGGATCAAAACAGCAAGCGTGAGTCATTCGGGTTCCCGAGAGCCGTTCGGCCTAAGAACCGAAAACCCTAAAACCGTCACCTGACCTCCAATGCCCCTCGGGCACATCCCCTAAACCCTATAAACCCCTAAACTTACCCTCAACGCCACACCCAAACTTTGCCAAACACCCTGAAGCTCCACGAAGTCGAAGTCCTAAAGTATCCGTCAGTGCTGCAGGGGCATGTTGAGGGGGGCGGGGGGGGTACCCCCTTGGGGGTAGGCTTTGGGATCCTAAAGCCCACGAAAGCCCTGAACCCTCAACTTCGGGCAGAGCACACCTTGAGCAAAGACATATCCATCTTGTGGTTCTCCTCCCTCAGCTGCTTGCCCTCACTCTCCTGGGGCTGGAAAGGTTTGGAATTTGGGTTGGCGCTTAGGGGTTTAGAGTTTGGGGTTCAGGGTAACAAGTACACGCCCCGCGTCAAAGTTGGGGTTTGTCCCGTGGACGCGCGGGTTCAGCAGGACTTATAAACATACAGGTCCGGTACGGATGTGAGTGGCTTGTGATTTCTGATCAGATGCCGCTCCGGCAAGCCCTCAGGAGGGAGGAAGGTCCCTGACTCCCTGAAACCTTGACTCCGCGTCCGGGCGTCGATGAGCTTAGCACCTTGGCCTGTCATGGTTGAGGACTGCTAAGGCTGCTAAGGCATATCGGGCTTGGGATTTGCAAAGTTTTGAGATTTTGCCATTTTGAAGACGAGGTGCTGAGGTTGGGGTGCGTCTGTGAAATATGAACGATGTCCATATGGTAGCGTCGAAGGTCTTCCAACAAGCACTATGCATGTCACTGCTTGTTTTGAATGGACGTTGCTGGGCCACATACATATTGTCTGTGAAGAGGTCCATGCCGAGCGACCCGTGCTATGGGTGTGCGCATGTTGAGCGCAAATCTTTGTCGTGCCCTACCCCCCCCCCCCCCCCCCCCCCACGCGCGCGCACACACACACACATACACACACGCTCCCTGATTCCGCAGTGGCACTACATATCGAGGCCATATTCATAAACATGAGCGATAACCTTAGTGCGAATAACAAAATCATAAGACTTGATTTTGTGCTAAGCTTGTTAAGACGCGGTGTGGGCTGACGCAACAACCTGTTATGCTTCCTATGTCATGGACTGCGCAGTGCTTGCTGGCCTGTGCACCACTTCGCCGGCGTGTTCCAATCCGGTAGCGGCAAGTCCGTGTAGGAGCTGCCATCCACGTAGTCAGGGTTGGCCGCCTTCACCTGAAGCCCATATCAGGGTATCATCCCCTTCAAGTTCAAGATAGCACACAAGAAACCAAGGATGTCTGGACTTCTCTGGCACGAAAGGCGGGAGGTCAAGAAGTAGGGGACACTGATGCTCCAACTTGGGCTTCAGGACACCCCAACGAGGTTCAGACCGTTGTGCCCGACGTTGATCGCACGCAGTGTCGGTACATCCGAACCTTCTTCAGGTGGCTCTACAGTCGTGAGGCTGTTCGGGCAAGGACGCAATCTTTAACACAATACCTGCATCCTCTAGCATCTCGAGTGCGGTGACCTGACCTGTATGACTGCGTTGCTCCTGGTGTTTCGAGGCCTGCCTTGGGGGCATTCTTCTTTGGAACGGCAGTGCATACCGAGTGCATGAGCAGGCCATCACTTTCCCAGTCGTCGAGCGTACGATTCCCCGCGCTGGCCCCCAGGAGCGTAGTGGCAATGACAACGCAAAACAGGGACATGATGAGCGCGCTTCCGACAGGGTGGCCTACATATGGGCGCCCATATGCATCTACTCATTCACAGAGAAGCGCTTAGGCATGCAGGGTGCGGGTTCTTGGTTGCAGACCTTAGCAGGAAGAATCTCACCACAAAAGACCTAGGCTGGCTAGCAGGTTACGCCAGGGTTCATCGGGCTTTCGGTTTTCGGACTTGGTTCCCCGTTGTTCTGATGTGAGCCAAAGGCTTTGATGCAACGGCCCATGGTCCAAGCATTGTGAGAAGCCCGAGAACTCCCACACTTTAACCCCTGCTTTGGAGTAGACACTGGAAAAAATTATATACTATTTAGGTATACGTAGCTATAATGGGAACCCAGAACCAAAAAAGGAATTAAGGCACAGTACCCCAAAAACCTAGCAGAAAGGTCTGAGACAGGGCATGGCGTTTAGGGCCAATTAACATCCCGAAGCCTTGCAACACTGAAAGAAACCGAGCTCGGAGTTTTCATAGGGGTCGTTTGGGGTTGCCTGAGGGAAGCAGCTGAGGGCCTGATATCGTAGCTCCTGAAGTATGCGTAAGCATGTTCGAGCATGTTGAAGATCACGAGGCGCACATATCATAAACAACCCGTGAATTTACGAGTACAGAACCCTCAACTCGCCAGATCCTGCATCCTTAGCCCGAGCCTTTCCGGTCTTTGGCTTAGGGTTTGGGGCTTGAGGGTGAAGTGAAGCTCGCAGAAGGGTCGGAGCTGTTTTTTTCTCGTGCCAGCCAAGGGCTACCCCTCTATGATACATCGAGCCATCGCCGAATACAGCACCCCAGGGGCTGAGTCCACATATGGCCTGGGCTCTACTATTATTACTGCTATCATTTTTTCATTCTGGTTAAAATTTTTAGCATGTAAGATTCTTACTGCTATTTTTCTGCTGTTATTCTGTATTCGGATGTATTACGATGGTTCTTACAAGTACGAATCTTCTTCTGATAAGATATATGCGACAGAACAAATTTGAACAAGTGTCCATGCTTTTTCCTGGCATGCTGGGTCGCTGAAGGGCGTCGTCTCGCAGGGGCTCTGGAGTGGCCAGCCAGGGAGGCCAACGTCCCAACCTAGGAGCAGAGCGCCCTCAGCTTAAGCCAGGGCCTTCACCGAATATCGCAGTAGAGTCGATTCTTGCCGCCCGAAAATCCGCCCCAACGCCGGTGTGGGTCCACCTTGATCTGAACTCCGAAGCCAGGGTCGCCCAGGTGTCAGGGGTTCAAGTCGTTCCGCTGTTCGCGCGCGCACCCTTCAAGCTCGCAAGCACATTGCCAAGCAGGGGTAACCGAGAAGGTATATGCAAGAGGGCGATCAGAACATGAGTCCATCATGGGAGGTCAAAGACCATTTCAGCTCTCCCTTGAAGCCGTACTTCTGCACCATGCCCGACAAGAGGCTGTGGATACCTCGGTCGTCTCCACGCTCGATGAGGAAGCCTGTGTAGTCGGTATGGAAGGCCGCAAGCCTTGCGAAAAGTCTTGCCACCTCCACCCCCCCCACCCAAACCCTCCGAGTCTCCGAGTGCATCCCGGATCCCTGTAGCTCCCTGTGGCTCACGGGAAAGTTGCATGAACTGACTCGGAAACCTGAAAAGCCAAGGGGCCTCACAGCTTCTGCACCGCCGTGGAGCTCGAAAACCGACTGACGCTCGAGGTTAAAAAGCGCCTTCGGTCAAGCGATTTGGCTCTCCCTCTTCATTTTTGGCTGTACAGTACCATCATGGAATTTGGGAATATGAAGGCGCAGGTGCGATGGAAAGCTTAGGGGGCCGTCGACGAATAGAATCGCTCTTGGTTCGCGGAGGTCTTCATGTTCTTACAGCTTCACCCTGTTGCTCAAGAGTACCCCATGTAAATCACACTGTCACTGAGGTTTACCGAACTGCGAATGGTGGCCCTGCACCCTAAGACGTTTATGGGATCCCTGCCCTGGATACACCCGAAAAGCCCCAGTGTCTGTCAACCTCAGGCGGCGGCGGCGATGTGATCGAAGCGGAAGCGAGCAACAGCCACCATCTCAAGCCGGCGTCGTATCTCCTCCGCCTCAAGGATTTATTGCTCTCAGGGTGAGGGGGGTTATAGGGGTTTCCCCAGCAAGGTGGCAATCATGGCCTGAAGAAGAGTTCGAGGCTGGTATCTCCAACTTTGAAGAATTTTTGAAGAATTAACGCTGATTCGCGCCACCAGCAAACTTCTGTTGTCCTTGAGGCGCTTAGTTTGAATGTCGCCTCTCAGAGATCACTTTTACCTGGATGTAGCACCTCGAAGACCTTGCACGAATCCCACTGCAAACAGTGCTTCGAGTCTATTAAAAGATTGGGTCCGGTTCGCGCGGAAAGTCGGAAATCCGAAGCATGCCTACCACCCCATCCTAAACTGCCCGAATGCAACCCGGAACCCCCACCGCGATAAGTCCACGAAGGTTTCCCTCGCCTCGTGAGCACGCCCCACCGAAAAATCCCAGAAGGAGTCATGCTCGCCTTGGTTCATGGGCTGAGTGGTGGGCTTAGAGTTAAACCCTAAGCCCCTTTATCACCCTGGATGCCTTACTTGAGGGTTTATTATAGGGTTTAGGGTCAACCCTCTGCAGGTTTTCAAGGCTTCATAAGGTCAAGTATTGGGATGTTCATGGTTTCAGGGCTTTCTGTAGGGGGAGTTGTCGGGTTTTGTGCATAGGGACGAAGGCTTTCAGGGCCATGTGTTTTGGGTTGTGATGAAAAATTGCATAAACACAAACAACTTTGCTGTGTTTCAATATTTCTCCCTAGAAGTGGACAACGAATAAATGTAGTTCAACGATTGGCGAAGTAGGCAGGTGACTGTGATGACTTGCGAGTCCCAACTTGAGAGCCTCCAGGAGACTACTATGCCCACAGGGCCCTGACTTGAGGGCTCAGTGCTGATAATCATGTCGTTGCAGAAGGCAATCCAGAACCCCGAAGACAGTTACTGTATCGCACATCTTTCTCCAAAACCAGGCGTCGAAATGGGCCACTGCCATCACGCAGAAACCTTGGTCGACAGTATTCGCTTCGCCCCCTCCAACACGTAAATCCCATCTCTCGCTGCTGCGCAAGGTGCTTGAAGTGTGAGACTTCTTTACTTGCGTGCTGCTGGTTTTTCACTGGCATGAGAGCCTGTCGCTCAAGAAGGAAGATGAGACCTCTCAGTTTGCGCCCAGCCAACGACTTTTTGATAGCTGCGCTTAGTGGCAAACTTTCGGATGATGTTCATGATGCAGGTGCCCATGGCTCATGATCATGGTTCCTGTACTGTGAACTCCGACCCTCCGAAAGGATCAGGAAGTCAGGGTATCCAGCAAAGGACGAAGCTAAGTTTCCACCTGCCCGACGGAACAATCCGAAACAGGAGGCAACAGAGCAGATGGAAGGTGCTTTTGTGACCGAGTTGCACAGAAAAGCTGGCAGCGGTGCCGTAAAATACCCAACCATCAAGTTTTCATAATGACTCCCAAGCCCCCAACCCCCACCCACGGTTCCTCGAAACCACCGTTTTGGGAGGTTGGAAAAGTGATGGTGGTTGGGTTTGGGGACGCCATTCTGCCCAGTGAGTTGTCAGACGGAAAGTCCAGCCCCAGGCCTTGTGAAACACACGCCTCAAACCTTCGTAACAACTCTGCAGATACCTGCACCCACGGACGACATGCCCACGCACTCTTCGTACACTGTTGCGCCTAATCCGAGCCCCGCTGCATGGTGCCGATCATCTTGTACTCTTTGCTGGAGCTGCAGCCGGCGTGGATGGTCCGCACGTCATCCTCTCCATTTTCGAGGTAGTTGAACCTGAGACAGCTTGCCTAAGGCCTAAGGGGCCTAAAGATGCAGTCGTTCAATCGTCCTGAACGCTGTGCGGGGGAGAGCCAGAGAATCAGACATAAACCAGGCTGAATCAGTTGTAATTATCCGGTGTAGTGATGGTGGCGGTTTAGAATTGAAGCGCGCAGCCCAACAGCTGACTTCAGTGAAGCCACCACAGGTACAGCGTCCCTCTCCTTGGTATGAGCTAGGCATGCTATGCATGCATGCACTTTTGAGGCGATCTGGGTGTCCGGTGCTGCGGGAGTTGACTCGCTGCTAACAACACTGCCATGTACAGGTAAGTGGCTCCGGAAGGACTGGAGCCTGTGCAGCTCGGCCATGCCTCAAATTCGGATCTAGATGCAAGTTCTCAAAACACACCCATGTGGGGGGGGGGGGGTCTCTTTCTCATGGATACATGCATCTCTTTGATGAGGACTCCTGTAACAGTAAGTAACAGTAACAAGAGGCATTCCAGGAAGGAGCGGCCAATCTTGAAAAACCTTCACCCTGGAGAGGCCTGCACATGTCTCTGGCGGCTTCCAGGACCCGCTGCCGAAACTCGCTGGGCTCGTTGGAGTCTACTCGGCGATGAACCTCAGCCCCGCAAGCATGTACTTGCAAGATCTTGCAAGAGTCGGCTGTCTGCTGACATGCACTTTGTTCTTTAGCTTTAGCATTTTGGGGCTTTTACGCAGGCATGCTGTGAGACACTGTGAGACGCCGCATGCGAGACCGGCAAAGGTGTGTGTGTGTGTGTGTGTGTGTGTGTGTGCGTGTGTGTTGTGTGGTCGTGCGTGGGTGTCTCTGTCTCTGCCTCTGCCTCCGCCTGTGCAGTGCCCAGCCCATGTAGTTTGTTAAAACCAACATGTCAAAGGTGCGTACGCTTCGGTGTCGCTGGTAACCTTGGCTCACGGCTGCTGGACAAAGTGTATTTTAAATTTCCTGATGCTATCAATTTGAGCAAGACGTGCACGTACGATCTTCCCAAAACCACTACACAGTTTTCAGGGTGGCAAGCAATCCTGTTTACAGCCAAGATGTGTCACTGGAATGCCATGGTAGCGCTGTCCCATGAAACCCTGTAGCTTTGCAGACCTATTCCCTAAACTCAACTGCCCTCTACCAACAGCTACTCGACCCACATCGGCTTTGGCTATTTGAATTGGGCCCTTTTTGCAAAATGCGCCTCTAAAGGAAATGGTATAGCGTGGACAGTCAAACCTCTCAATCCTTCACCACGACACACGCTGATTGCGCGAGTCGTTCAAAGCCTGTTGCCAGGCCAACACCTGCAAAGTCATGCGGTCGATCTAGAGAACTTGACCATCTTGTTTGCAAGAAGGCGATGTGGCATTTGCAATAATATTTGTGACAATTGGAAGACAAATGAGAGGTCTGTTGACTTCAAGTTCCTGTAGCGAGCGTAGCAAGTACAACTGCGATTGTAAACCTTAGCCATCGCCTAGATTCAACTTGGGAGCTTGCAAAAAGTAGCCCCCCCCCCCGCTACACTCTACCTACCCAAGCATAGTAGAACCCCTTGCAAGGACGCCCCAGTTTAGGGTTTTGGCTCTTAAGATCGATTTTTGTCAGAGTCCTGAGTAAAGCCTGTTCTGACCCAGGTAAGAGATGAACCTCTCGACTGTGTCTGAGTGGTTTCCCAAGAACCAGCAACAAGTCCTAGGCACAAATCTTCCGTCGTAGCAGACTGTTTCAAAACACTACCAGAACCCGTAAACTTTGTTGCAGTACACCATAACCCCTAACCCCAAACCACCGAAAGCGGCCTCGTCGTGCTCTGCTGCAACTCCCATATGGCTAACCTTGCCCGCTCGTCCTCGCTCAGCTGAGGGCTTTGCTGAAGTAACTACTGGCAATTCTTAGGGCTTGGGGGCTAGTCTTAAGAATCAACCCTTTCACAGAGGTTCGTCCTGCGGAAGCCAGGAGCTTCTACGAACAAACGTTGCAGCAAGGCTGTGAACCCTGGCTGCGAGCACTCGTCTTCATCTCATCTAAACCGTTGCCGTGTTTCTTCTTGATCTACGTGTGTGAACATGCTGCGTCACAGGGGTCAGGGGTTCCGGGGGGCTTTTTTGGGGGAGAAGGGTTTAGGCTTCAAGGCATTTAGGAGTCCCCAACATGCTCTGGTCGGCAACAAGTCGGTCCAAATGTATCCAGAAGCAGCGGGAAGACGGTGCCTGTTCAAGCTAGTAGGGCTGCGGGGCTGTGTAGGGCTTGGTACAGGCTGTTCTGCTCATGCGGGCTGGCGGCTGTCAAAACTCACGGGCATGTATAACACAGGAATGAAGGGTGCAAATAATCGGGTTATATGGGCATGTATAACACAGGAATGAAGGGTGCAAATAATCAGGGTTATATCCCTTTGGGGTGCATTTGGGGCATCCTCACTTTGGGAAAACCCCCGGTCAGGCAGCTTCGAGTAGTGAAGAGCGCCATTTGCAGGAAACAGCTGACGAGGGCCCTGGCTTCATGGGCTCGCCGCCTCCATCCTCGTAGTCGTCCAGGAACCTGGGTTCCCCAAACGAAGCTAGGGACGAGAAAGGAAGACTTCTTTCTGCTTGGGCTGTCTAAAGGAAGCCTAACCCTTGAAGAAAGCGAACAAACACCCATGTTCCACTGGGGATCCGAGGAACAGGGACACGGACTGGAAGCGGTGCGGCCACAAGTACTTGTTGAAGTTGTCCAGGTGCAAGTTCGCTGGCATGGCGCTGGGTAGGTAGAGGTGGTAGATGGCCTTCGCACTTTTTTCCCTTCACCTATACCGTTTGATACTGTCTGTTTTGCACTTTGCACAGTTGCGCTTGACGCTCTACAGAAGGCATTTTCCGTGGTGGGTCTGTTGGCACATGCCTCCACGTTGTTGGGATGCACGCCAAAGGTCTGGGCCACTCTCTCCATCATGGCGACCAGGAAGTCTGGAGGCTCCTGGTGTTCATTCAGATCGAGCAGCCGACCATCCCCTCTCAGCAGGCAACACTGCGAGTCAGTTCAGGCTGAAGCCAACGATATATATATATATATATATAGCTATTATGTATTTTATATTGTATATTAGAAATGACATGTATATGTATATATATATATACACGGATGAGCAGACCTGGGGACCAGGGGGGGAGCTGGAGACCACAAAAAAAGCAAGTACCCCCCCCCCCCTATTAAGTACTAAAAAATAGGCCCTCCATGTATATATATATATATAAAAAAATATAAATAAATAAATAAATATATATATATGTATATATATATATAATAGGCTACGTCCACCCCAAGAGCGGGGCTCCGGAAAGTAGAAGGACAGCTGGTCTGTGTCTTGCATCCGCAGCCTTGGCCGCACATCCGCTGAAACGCCCAAAGCCTTCGGAGTCCTATCGAGGGTGGCCACTAAAACACCCTCTTAAAAATATATCCTACACATGATCCTCTTGAAACTCTAAGTCAGGGAAGATCTGAGATATCCTAAGGGCCTACGTGGCGATAAGCCCTACTAAACCCGAAACCCCTTTCGGCTGCCCAGCTGCAGCGGCCTCTTGCCCAACCTGCCTTGCGCAAGGGCAAGGGGAATGGGGACTATGGATTCCGAGGATCTGGTTCTTGCGGCTGAGGGCTTTTTATAGGCTTTGGAGTCGATTGGCTCATGAACGAGGTGGAAAACAGTCTCCTTGTGCACCCTTACCCCACCCCCACCCTACCCCCACCCCCTTCCCTGCCCCACCCAAGTAAAGAATGTTACTTCCTCAGAGTAAGACTCAAAGCCACTATTGCCCAAAACCCGTTGCTTGCTTCGCCTTTGAGCTACAGTCCGAGTCGCCAAAACCGGACGAGGCGTTGAGGGCGCCAGGCCTCGTGGGCTCTGCGAGGTTCATCATGAGATGCACGCTCTCAGCAAGTTCTGTGACATGCAGGGGCTGGCACGGACCGCACTTCGTCAACGGGCTTATGCAGTACGCGGTTGTTGTTCAGCTAGGCTTAGGTGTATGAACACCCCCGCACTCACAATTATCTGAGCTCATCCTTTCTACTTTATGTATGTCCGTGGCCCGGCCGGGTGAAGACAAACTCGGAGCTGTCGCCGAAGTAGATGACTGCCTCCAACCTCGGAGTCCCGCTACCCCCCCTTTCCAAGCAAATTTAAAACTTCCAGACTGCCCTGCGCTCTAACTCTTCTTTAGTAGTAGGCAGGGTGTAGTTGCCTCATTCAAGGAGTAGTGGCTCTTGCCTTGTGCGGCTCCAGTTGAGGTCCTCACATGCTTTGGCATGAGTACAGCTCAGCTTGGGTTTCCCAGAGCCTAAACGTGGGCATCATCAACCTCCATGACGGTGAACTAAGTTTGGCTGATGGATTGGGAAGATGGCGCATCAGCGGTCGGAATCTGCTTCTCGAAAGAAAACCGAATCATTTGCCCTGGTTTCATTGCCAAGGCCGGCGCATGAGCCACCGCAGCAAAGCGCACTCCTGGACGCAGAGTGGTCGCTTGTGCTAGCCAATGGTGAAACGGCTCACGCGGTGTACTGCACGAATTGCCAGGCAATCCTGGGATCGTTGGCAAACGTGACAATTGAACATTCCCAAACCCTTTAGCACAAAAGGCCTTGGCAACCCTGACATCCCTAGCCCTAAAACCTGAAATAGAACCTCGTGCGTGGCTGGGCCTTGTGCGTGAGCATGTTGCGGATCCGCAGCACTTTCGGATTGAGGCTAAGCATGTCGGCACGGTAGGCTTCCGCCCGCTCGAAGGTCTCGGGGTTTACCATTGACGCTGCGGAACTACATGACTACGTGGCACTTGCTGCCAGCAACAGTGCTGACAGCTCCTAAGCTTGAACCAAGATGTGAAAGACTCGCATGGCCCAGGAGGCCTTTAGCTGCTTTAGCCTTAAAGACATCGGGGGTCTGGTGGCTTCTTGAACTAGACAGTTCACAAACTGGTTGGGTCTACGCAGCAGACATCCAGGCTCGAGCTTGTATGTGCAATCCGTGAAGACACGCTGGTCTCTTCTGCTTTGTACCCAACAGCGGCTGCCAGGGGCAGTGATGCCTTGCCTTTCCAACAACCAGGGTGTCAGGCCCAAACTGACCAAACCTGGATAATTGTTCCTAAGGAAACACACACACACACACACACACACACACACACTTGAGTTGGAGTCAAGTTGACAAGAAAATATGCAGAACGGAGCGGAACATCTCAAAGCAGGTACGTAGCGGAACATCTCAAAGCAGGTACGTAGGGGTGGCGTCCCACCCCTATATCACGGGTCAGGATGGGGGTCTTCATTGGCACCTGCCCCATTCCTTTCCCCAGGTGCCCCCTGCTGAGAATAACTTGCGAATCGGAAAACACGCGTTCAAAATTTGGAACACGCACCGAAGCTTGTCACAACACGGCATTGATCAAACATCTGCTTCCCTTGGTCCCAGGGCATCCCACACACACACACACACCCACGCGAAAAATGCAAAGGTGAGCATCAGCTGCGCGCCCAAAACTTTCGGCGACCGAAGCCGTCATCACGAGCACCAGTCGGACATGTGCATGAGTCTTATGGCGGCCAAAGCCCGTGCATCATTGTTTTTGCTGCCCTGGAACTAGAGCGGATGGAACATTCAGGCTTTTGGGCTTAAGGAGACGATCCCCAGCAGCATCCATTTCCACTCAAGTCTACTGTCCGTGCCAAACAAGAACAGGCAATGAAAGAAGTGCACCCCTAAACCCTAAACCCGAAACCCTAAAACCCAAACCCCTAGACCCCTAGACCCCAACACAGGAGGCCATCCTTTTTTTCTGCTCTCGCCGGGGGGCATGGCCTCAGGATTTCTGGTCGCCGGAGGCCGGCGAGGGCCCGGCCTTGGAGCTGTGGGCCATTGCGCAGGTTAGCTTGGGGTTTGGGGTTTGGGACTTGGGGTTTGCGGTGTGGGGTGTGGGGTTTGGGTTTTCTTTTGTTTAGGGTTTAGGCCCCTTTTTGTTGCTGGCACAAGGTTGGTCCGGCGGTTCGGCTTTTGGGTTTGGTTGGGTTTGGGGGTCATGGGGCCTGAAGGGTCGAGGGATGCTTTAGGGCTTTAGGGGCCTTCCTTTTTTGTGGGGGAGGGGGAGGGGGGCTGTCTCCATTACGTCCCTTACTTCGGTCAATCCCCGGGCTTGTGGTTTTCGTTGTTTTTGGGGCCCTGTTTTGGCCACTTTGGGGTCTGATGGTCGGGGTTTATGTCTAAGCCCTAAACCCTAAATCCCGAACCTTAGGGGTTTCAGGCTTTTTTGTGAATGCGTTCAGGGTGTCAAGCATGCTTGGGCTCCCGAACTGCTTTAAAAGGGCTCTCTTGTTAGGGAGCTTTCAGCGCAAACATCTTATTCTGAAAGCAGTCATATGTTGAAAGAGACCTGCTTGTATTCTGAAAGGACCCTTCTGCCTACTTTTGTTACGCCTCTTTTGCGGCCGCTGAGGTCTCGCTCGGCTTTGGCAAGCCGCGGAACTTGCGGAATTCCATTCTCAGGAGCCGGCCTGGCGAGTGTAGAGTTTTAAGTTGAGGGTTCAGGGTTTCGGGTTCGGGAACCCTAAACCCTGAACCCTAAACCCTAAACCCTAAAACCCTAAAACCCTAAAAAACCTGAACCCTAACCCCCCCCCCAAAGGCGCTTAGGAAGATACGAGTGCAGGATCTTGGAGGCCAAGGCCTCTGTGAGTTTTCGGGCTTCCGGTTCTCTGGGGGACTTCCCAGTCTCCAAGGACGTGAAGGTTTTGAAATTTGGGCCGCTTTTGCTTGCACTTTGTGGGCCTAGTTTTCAGGTTTTTGCCCAGACCATGAGACCATTGGGAGTAGCCTTGAAAGCGTCTCAAAATCTTGAACAGTCCTCGACGCCCATGGGGCCCTTAAAGCCCTTCCAATCCTTAAAATCATGAAAGCCTTTAGCACAAGTGGACCGCCCACCCCCCTGGCGTCGCAGCCTGCGGCACCTAAGCTGGTGAAGCTCCCCATCAGGGCCAGGTAACCCATGATCCCCACCTCCACAAGGGGCAACTGCTTTAGGGTAACTTAGTCTTTGCAGGCTGAAGGATTGGATCGGGAACATCGGTGCCTTGCGACAGATGGCTGAGAAGCCCCATTCTGGCTTAGAGGGATCGGGAGTGCTTGCAGAATTGAAAGCCGTCTCGGGACAAGAGGTATGGCCATGCCTTGCTAGGGTTCAGGGCTAGGGTCGACCAAGGGGTGTGAGAATCACGGGCATGTACGCTCTACGCAGATGCGAGCTGTCGCGAGCAGGGAAAGATCGCATTTCCTGGACACCAAAGAAATTTCCTATACACGCAGGTCTCTGCTGCGAGGATTCAGGAAACAGCAGAACGATTCATCCCGATTTGCAGGCTTTCGACCCTGCCTCGCCGCTGCGGAAGCGGGCCACAAGAAGGAGCAAAAACCTGATCTCTGCTTCATGCTGCGCACGCTGAGAATTCGTGTTTTCACGTACATGTACAAGAGCTCATTTTCTGCAGCTGGTCTCCTTGGTGGGTGTCGCATGTTGGGCAACAATCTACATCTCTATGTACACAATCGGAATCGGTCTGCAAATTGCACTTATGGATGGACTCTCTTTGAGTGGACTTTGGTTCCCCAGCAACCAAAGGAGAAGAACAGTAGCCTTCGGTTGGTTTTTGCAGGGCTCGTTTTCACCTCTTTCCCCTTCTAAAGCCTAAAGCCCTAAGGAACGCCCAAAAGCCCCTGAACCCTAAACCCTAAACCCTTAAACCGTAAACCCTTAACCCTAAAGCTGCCTCTGGATCATGGCCCCGAAGTTGGCGAACTCCATGATCCGCATGTTGACGAGGTGGAGCCACCACAAAAGGAAGCTGAGCCTTTCTACAGGTACTATACTATTCTATTGACTATTGTAGTATTGTACTTATGTTATTCTGTAATTCGATTAGCATAATATTCCATTATTCTATTTCATATCTAATACTGTCACATTATGGTACGATTACATTCTTCTATTCCCCTTTCTTTCTTAATTTCCCTCGACAATTCTATAATGTAAACCACCCAGAGCCCCCCCGATCATTACGCAGGCGCTGGCCCCTACGGCTGGGGGATTCGGTTCGGGGGCTCAAGGGCTCCCGGGGTTTTAGGAGCCCTGAGGTTCTAGGGGTGCAAAAGTTCCAGGGTTCCAGGGATCAAGGTTGGGGGTTTGGGGGGCTTTTCAATGTATGCGCGCTTCTTGGTTTAGGGTTTTGGGATTCTCAAAGTTCCTTTCGCAGTTTTCGGGTTCGGGCTCCTATTTGCCTTCAAGACAGCGACTTCTGCGGGTTTCCTGGGAGAAACAGAGCTCCGAAGCAGCCAATGTCCAAACTGCGAAGACCCGCTCTGCTGCACAAGGGGCATCATTGTTGCCACGACGAAACACAGCTCAGGCTCGCTGGCCAAGGACCGATGAGCGCCGACGAAAACCTGAGCCGCTCTGTCCACACGCCTCTTTCTTGCAGCTGATATGGGGTACTTCCAGAAATAAGGGGTGCTCCTAATCTACCCCCGAATACTGTAATCCTGATCATCTAGGAATCCACAAAAGGGCGACCATCAGCCCTGCACCCTAGGAGCTCGGTTTTGACATCACGGTTCACAACAGCTGCCAAGTCTTCGTCCTTGCTTTTGGGTTTAGAGTCTACCCTAACCCCCCCCGCCCCCCCAAGATATCTTTTAGGTGAGGGTTTAAAGGTGGCTACGGAGCCCTCAGAACCGACCCGAGGACGCCCCAACGGAGAAGTCCTTCAGCAAAGAAGCCGCCAGCACGCGGCACAGCGTGGCCAGCATGAAGCACACGACTCCGCCCGTGAAGCTCAGGCTGCAAACAAGGTACCTTAGGGCTTTCTGGGGTTTAGGGTTTAGGCCTAAACCCTAAACCCCAAAAAGCCGGGTTGGGGGGGGTTAAGAGCTTACCGTTGTATCTAACTGTTCTTAGAAGCCCCGTTGAACAATACATTATCCGGCCCCTTGTGGGTTCTCCACCTTCCACCTCAACATAAAGCAAAACTCCGAAAACAATGTCTACTTTGGCATTGCCGCGTGTGCGTTGAGCCCAATTCCAGCTCCCTGGGATACTCAACCTGAACTCAACTCAACTTGAAGCCAACCCTGAATCCTAAACCTAGACCCTAAACCCTAAACCCTAAACTCCTACAGTTCCTGAAATGTCTCGCCTCCCCTGAGTTGAAGTTTTCCCCCCAAGGGGCTCGAACTCCAGGTTCGCCATGATGAGATCCATGGCTGTGGGTTCCTCATTTATGGCTTTGCGTTGTTTTGGTTTTGGGGTTGAGGGGCTTTAGGTTTTTGTGGTTTGGGGGGGGGTTTGGGGGGGGTTTAGGGTTTTGGCGTTTTGGGGATTTGCAGGAACCTTGTGTCCTTGAAACCTGAACCCTAAACACCAACATCCCCAAACCCTAGCATCCCTAACATCCCCAACATCCCCAAAATCCCAAACATCCCTACCCTCCGCAACATCCCTAAACCCGAAGCCCTAAGCCCTAATCCAAAACAACAAATGAAACAACGACAGAACAAAAAAAAGGGGGCCAAAGCTCCAGGGCCAGGCCGTGGCGACCGAGCTCCAGGAGTTGGACGTGCGCCTCCCATAGGGGGCTTAGGGGGCTTTGGGGGCGCTTGGGGCTTGGGGTTTAGGGTTTAGGGCTTAGGGTTTGGGGTTCAGGGTTGGGGTAGTTTGAGGTTTCTGAAGCTTGGGTGGAGGGAACGTTCGGGGGAGTGGGCTCGGGATTGATAGCCTTTGCAGTACACAAAGGTGATTGTGTGGTATGGTTGTAAGATAATGATATAATAGGGCCCAGGCCCAGGGCGCTTAGGGTTTGCTGTAGGGTTTAGGGTCCTTCGTGCACCGAAAACAGGCGGAATGCCAGGGCATGTCGAGCCACATTCGAAGTCTCCAACACGGTGGTCAGCTCCAGGCAGAAAGTGGCAGCGGTCAGAATGACATAAGCCTGGGATGTGGATGGGCAGGCTTCTGTTTTACGTTTAAAGGGGGGCCTGACATCTACAGCTCCGACAAAATTGGAAAACAAAAAACTCCTGCATCCAAAGTAGAACGCTCTTCCGGAAGATCTGAGTTGCCTTACTTCTTCTCCCTGGGAAGAGGTTTTGCTGGCACGGGGTCAGGCTGCTCCCCTTATGGAAGCAGCCCCGCTACCGTAACTTGTAACCTGAAAACTTTTGAAGTGTAGGGATATTGGGCTTGGACTGGTGGGATTAGGAGTTTGTGCGGTTTCGGGGGGGCCGGGCAGAGCCGGGCAGCACGGTAGAGGATGTCGAAGACCTCTGGCTGTGGATGGTCCTCCTTCCCACGAAGGCACTCGAGAGAAAGCAACAGCTGTCAACTTCAGGACTTGGGATGGACATCCCAAACAGGGATAGGCACCTGACACTTCTTTACGTATATCCGCAAGCTCATTCTCCCGCATCAACGCCTGCACTTCAGCCGGAGGTCCTTGCGCCAGCCGAACTTTGTCGGGGGCAGAAACAACCTTCACCATGCCATGCCCCGCGAGACTCGAGGGCCACTTTTGAGGGGGTGTTCTGGGTTTAAGGTTCCAGGCTCTTGCGAAGAGGCTTCCAGCTTAAGCCTCCGAGAGGAAACTCCGAATCCTGCCAGTTTCAGCTTTCTGGCAGGCTTTTTTGGCTGGCTTTGTGTTTGATGTCAGACAAGCTTTTTGGTTTACCTTCAATCCACTAGACAAATCCGCCTCAATCCTCCCTTCAACTAAACCCTGAAGCCTGAACCCTAAACCCTGAACCCGAAACTGGCCCTAAACCCTGAACCCTGAAGCCCGAACCCCTGAGGGTCGGGGAGCATGCCCAGCGCAGCCGAGCCGATCAAGGCAGCCGGCACCCGCATCGTCTCAGCAAAGAACCGAACCGCGTCGTCCTTAAGCTTAGGGGTTTATAGGATTTGGGCTTTATACGGTGTAGGTTGGGATGCTCCCCCTTATACTAACAGTTACTTAATAGGGAGGCGAATAGGGGGTACTATGATCCCTATTTAGGACTGTTAGTATCAGGTGGAACATATGAAGTCGGTTGAGCGGAGAACGCTAAGTGCCCGGCCAGCTGCGCTTTGATCTCCGGCTTCAGGGGCTGCGCCCAATCCTCAGTTCAGCTTCGTTCGCGGGCCGCTTTGTTTCCTCTTTGACTGCTACTCCGCACCTAAACCCTGAATGCCTTTAAGCCCGAACTCAGGGCCCCGTCCAGCTGAGCATGAAGGGGCCCAAGAACGAATGCCATTGCACCGAAAAAAGCCCATGCACCCTGCGGTTTTAGGGCTTCGGGGCCGAAGCAGCAGATCCTGCTAGGTCTTATCGAAACGACGATCCCTTCGGGGGGGGGGGGGGGGGCACCTTTTGGCAGAAGGAACCCTGTTGTCAAAAGTTGTATGAAAGGGCCCGACATTAACGTTGGACACTCTCCAGTACACCACCCCAGGCTCATCAAAAGCCTGGTTTGAAGGGGTATATAGAAGCTCCAGCATGAACCTATATTTTTTTAGCCCTGCACAAATCGAAGCCTGGTCAACCCCCCACCCTGTTGCAAGCCTCTCAGCTCAGGTTCATCCTTGTGGCCATCGTCCACTTGCAGTCCCCCACCACCGAGGAATTCCGAGCGCACCTCCACACGAGGATGATTTCAACGCATATGGACTGTAAAAGTTGTACAAACAAGAAGTGGAGTATTTTGGGGTATGGTTAGTGAGGGTAGAGCCTATTTGAAGCTCCGGAAGCCCAAACTCAAAAACGAACACACCAAAGCGCAAGCTGAACCCTGCTTTTGTTCCAAACTGAAAGGTTCTGTTGGGGAAGGATATAAGGAAGCATCTTGTCAAAGATACAAAGCCCACAGCTGTTGACACCTGGGATCCCTCACACTCGCATCCAAAAAATGATTGAAAAGGTCTGCAAAAGAAGCAAATGCAGAACCCGACGCGGCTATGCCTGCCGGCGGACGCGGCGCTCCTCCGAAAACCATTTGTTTGGGTGTTGAGGTTTTGAAGCGTGGGGCTGTTGGGGGTGTGGGGGTGGTCGGGTTTGGGACAGGGGGCTTTAAGGTACAGGGGAATCGAACTGATCTGACTTCCTTCCTCACTGCTAAAACCACTCTCCGGTAATTCTTCATCACGGTCGCTCATAAACCCTTATAGGCCTGAAAACCTTCCATGCACTCACACCGCGAGGTCCTCGAAGGAGTTGAGAGGTCGATGCGCCACCAAACGAGCTTGCCTAGGTTTCCAGGATTTTCGGCTGTCGGGCTTCGGGGTTCTTGGGGGTTTTGGGTTTTTGGGGTAGTTAGCTTGCTTGTGAGCCCGAGTTGCTTCGAAGTTTCTGGGGTTAAGGGGTTGGAGGTTGAATTGCGTGGATACGGCTTGCTACCTTGCTAAAGCATAGGAGGCCAGACCTCTGCTGAGTCTAGAGCACAGATCATGTTTCGACATCTCTTTCAGCTGCGGTGCTTCACGGCGTCAGCCTCCTTCTCGATCAACTCTCTCCGGCGGCGTTTCCTGGGCACATGGGCCGGAGATTTTCAGGGAAACCGCCACACAGCTTCTATGTGCTACACTTCCGATGCTAAGAGGGAGTCGGCACCCTGAATCACAATCAAGAAGCTTCCCGATCTTTTGCGGGTTAGACTAGAAGCGTGAATCCTAAATCCCCTGCCGAGGTATAGATGAAAATGAGACAAGTCTCCGCTCTTTCTCCTCCTCTGCCTGCTTCTGCTTCGCCTCCTCAGAAGGGCGAACAACATTTCACAGAGCTTCAAGAGTTTCGGTTCAAGCCCCATGCCCAGTACTCAAAGCCCCAACATCCCCAAGCCCTCAGCCCCAAAACGCCATGGAACATTCCCTACACCCTGAACCCTGTAAACCCTCTCTCGGCCGCCTCATCTGCTTCCTTCTGGCGCTGCTTCTCCCGCCTAGGATTTTGGGGTTCACAGGTTTTAGGGCCGGTAACCTGGAGCAAAACCGGTTTGGAATTCGGGTTTCAGGGCTTCGGCTTCTCAGGTCTCAGGAAGTCTAGACGACATCCCCCCGCGCCCCCCAAACTCTATATATCCCAGACCCAGACCCTCACAGGTAGGCTTAAAAGCTCTTTACCCTGAACACCAGGCCCTTAGAAGCAAGGGGAATCAGAGTACTTCTGGGCATCCTAGGCGCTCCTTCTCCTCAGCCTCCTGGCGCTTAGCCTCCACACTCTCGCTTCTGGGGTTTGGGGAGGTGTAGTGTTTTGGGTTTATAGGGGTTTAAGGGATGAAGGGATGAAGGGTTTCAGGGTTTCAGGGTTAAGGGTTTAGGGGTCTAGGGGTTTAGGGCCTATATGAACCCCATAAATCCCATAAACCGTATAAACCCTAAACATAATCTTAAAACCTGTTGATACCAGAAAACGTCACCCTACAGGCCTAGTTGTTGAGGCTCCAGCTACGGGCCCAGCGTTTGAGAGAAAGGGGGGCCGGGGGGGGGGGGAACCCCCAAGCCATGCTGTCAGCACCCCCCAATACTGCAGGAAGCTTGCAAAAGGTGTAGCCCTTTGAGACATGTTCACACACGTGCGAATTCAAGTATTGCATTGTCTCATCCCAGCATAAACTAGGTAAATGAAAGGAGGTGGTGGGCGCGTGTGAGTTGCCATCTTTATGTTTTGCACCCACACTCCCCGCAATTGCATGCGGGAAAGCTTCTAACGAAATTGCAATCGTTGATGAGGCACTCGCACATGTCTCCCCTCGAAAAGCTAGTCGTCTTCCGGTTTTGATGGATTTCCTTCTTTGTGGCATTTCTATGGGAGGACAGCCCCACAAATTTGGCAATTGCTCCGGGACAGGGCTCATTTTTCAAATCCTCCGCGAGACGAGGCGCACAAAAGACATAAGCCCCCGCGTTCCTAACGATGCCAATGAGGTACACGGATATTACATTCAACAAACTTTGGTCACTCCTGTCCAAAGTGAGCAAAGATCCGGGATGCACATTTGCACGTGAGACAAGCCCCGACATGCCTTGAGAGAATGTCAGAAAGACGGCTAATCGACCTTGGAGACGCACACCTTCAAACAGATCGTCTGCCAGATCTGCTGCAGAAGCTTTTTTTGTGGTTTGCATGTCTTTGAGTGATATGCAGATCCTCAGCTATATTCAATATGTTGCCTCGATCTTGTCAAGTCATCATGACCTCAACAATACATGGGATTACGGGGCTTGAGCTACGGATAAAAAGCTATGAAAACCTTGAAAACTCAGACAAGAAAACTATTTTGCATTGAAACGCACAGGCCCACAGCGCGGCGCACTCTCATGAGCATAGCCTGCGAACCGAGACCCAAAGCACCAAACCCTGGCCACAAACCCCTACACCCTTTACACCCTATCGGCCCCTAAACCCTAAACCCCTAAAACTGGCCTCCACCTCCGCTTCCGTTTCGGCGTGCTTCGGCCGGACGCCACCTTCTCGAACAGCGCTTTCCAGCTAGGTTGGCCCTTTAACTACGGGATAGAATTAGGGGGATCCGTGGGGTTTCTAGACCCTCTGAATAAGGTCCCGGTTGAAGAGAGCCCGAAGAGGGTTAAGAAGGGCTCCCTTTTGAGGGCCCCCCCTTATCCGACCTTATCATCCTACCTAGGATCCCTAAGCCCTGAAACCCTGGCCCCTTGGTAGCCCAGTAACCATATTGTAATAGAGGTACCCTTTTTGAGGTTTATGAGGGAACCTCGAACCAACAAAAGGACAAAAGGGTACCTCTGGGCTGCCAAGGCCTTTAACCTCTCAGAGAAGTACTCCGAAATCAGATCCCCTTATGCCCAGTGAAGCTTCAGGCTTTTGGGGTCTGGTCCATGGTGATTTAACTTTTTGATTGCGGGTTTCGGGGTTTTGGGCTCGTAGGGTTTGCTAGATTTAGGGCTTCGAGGGGTTTAGGATACGAACCTTATACCCTAAGCTTTCAACCCTAAACCCTAAACCCTAGACCCTAATTAGACCCTGAACCCTGAACTTCCCAAACTCTGTTTTACCTTCTTTGCTCCACCATCCAACCCCCCACACCAGCGCCTAGCAGATCGAAGCGGAACGCCGAGCTGGGGCCGCAGCTCCTCCGGACCGGCGTGGTCTTTAAGACTCTCATGCACAACCTGTTAGGGTTTAGGGTTTTTAGGGTTTAGGGTTTAGGGCTTAGGTGTAGGGTTTAGGGCTTATAGGGTTTAGGCATGTTAGGGCTTAGGCTTGAAAGTTTAGGGTTGAGGGTTTGCGGTTTCAAGACCGCGTCTCTGTGTACAGCGTATACTGAGAAAACTCTCGGAGTCCCGCAGTTGGACTGCGCTGGTGTTTGTCATCGGGGCATGCGTGGCTGCCGGACGTCGGACTCCGAACCCATCAGACCTCATGGCTTCCAGGAAGCCTCTCAACCCCTAGCCTGGTTGCTGAGTATCCTGACCCAAAAAAAGGTTCACCTTTCAATTCTGGTAGGATTCTATAAATCCCAAAAGGTTAAAGGTTGTCGACTCGGCTGCTAAGCTAGGCTCCTAAAGAGATGCTCAGCATGAGTCATGAGCTGCTTTCGGTCCTCGAAAGGACGGTCACGCCCATCGCCACCTCGGCGTTTGCTGGCCAATCTTCTGCCGCAGGTTGACCCGTAAAACCCTCTGAAAAAACTTCCTGAATATAATCGCTTAGCCCAAAAAAGGAGGAACAATATAACGTCCCAAAGGCCTTCCCAGTCTCTTACGCCCGAAAGGCAAGAGTTATTCTTGTTTCCAACAGCCCCCCGAAGCTTCTGGGACATGTCATCCTGAGTTTTGGAAACAGCAGCCTTCCCCCGCGTTACATGCGGCTCCACATCGTTTATGCTGCTTGATCATGAAGCACGAAGTAGTCCCAGCTGCTCACATGCAAAATTCTCAGAGTCTCGGCCAGATGGCCATGCTCCAGAAGTACTGACAGCTATAGGCTTTCTTGTAGTATACGAGCAATACGTACGAGTCAAAGGGAACACAAATCCCGATGGTGCGACGGCTATTTCAGCGAACATGCCCATAGCCGCCGTGCACTCCACCGCACATCGTAAGACTGCTTAGGCACCGTGATCGCTGCGTGCGCCAGCCGCCGATGCCGCCCAGATCCCTTCGCAAGTGCCATGGCGACGCAAGAGCCTCCTAAGAGAATGGGGCAACAGTGCCTTTTTGGATGTGGACTATACCGTGAAGGGTTGGGGGTCGCTGTCACCGCTTTCTGCTATGTAACAAACAGACATATGGGACTTTTTAGGCCTTGCAATGCAGACACTGGCAAGGGGGTCGAGAGGGCCATGCCAACTTATGCCAACGTTAATTCCTTGCTGAGCCGGCGTGGTCGTTCCAATCAGGTTTTAAAGTTTAGGGTTCAAGGGGCGCAAATCCCCTGAAAGTTCAACAAACCCAAAGACCCTCAACCCACCTAAACACAGGCAAAGCCATCAATGATGCCATAGAACCCCCTGAAACAACCCTCAGGCACGGTGACAATGGCGACACGATGGGGGGGGGACCCTACAAGCGCTAGCCCTGAGCCGAGACGCCCACCCTAAAATCTCTAAAGCCGAATAAGTTCCATGATACAAACCCAATGAAGCCTATCAACCATGATAACCGTAACACGCCGTCATAAGCTACAAGAAAGCCATCATAAACCATGATAAGCCAAAGTAAGCCCAGACAAGTCATGAAAAGCCTTAAACATCCCTATCAACGCCTATAAACCATCAGAAGCCAGAAGAAGCCATCATAAGCCGTAAGAAGCCATCAGAAGCCATCATAGGCCATACCCTAAACCCTAAACCCTAAACCCTAGACCCTAAACCCTAGACCCTAAACCCTAGACCCTAAACCCTAAACCCTAGACCCTAAACACCATCATAAGCCCCACAAGGCTGTCGTGGTAGGAGCCCGGGCCCAGCGGGCCCAGAGACCCGAAGCCGACTCGGCCGCGGAGCTCAGCCTTGCGCCCAGGTCTCAGGAAGCTCGTTGAAAGGGTTCGCAGGGTTTTAGGGGTTTTTGGGTTGTAGGGTTTAGGGTTCTATGGTTTTAGGGTTTAGGGCTTCGTTTTTGGGGCTTGGGACTCGAGTTTAGCAGAACTGTTGACACCTGTTGGGGCATCCTTGGGCCACCCCAAACTCCTAAACCCCCCCCAGAAGTCCCAAAGTCTGAAATCCCTGAACCCTAAACCCTCAACTCTATCCTGTTGGGATCCTTCATCCGCAAAATCCTGTCCCCCTCGCCTCGCCGCGGCCGTGGCCGCCTGACTCGGGCCAGTTGCAGACTAGTCTGGGCTAGTCGGATATCTTACAGTATGTAACTACCCCTAGAGGATATACTGATCCCCGAGCTGTGGACCCCATGATTCTCATGCAGCAACTCCATTGCAGAGTCAGTGCTAAACTTTTGGCTGTTTTTTGGCGAAGCACTGCTGTGATGACTTTGGGAGATGGAACCAACAAAGCAAACTCTTCTTACGGACTGAGGACTGACTTAGGCCCTGGCCGTGAACCCTCGGGATACGCTTCCGGGCTCCAACGACATCTTCGCATCAAAAGCTGCCCTTTCGTACTACGATCAGGGGACTTTGCTTCCTTCACTTTGCCAGGTGCCCGGCAATGTCAAACAGCGAAGCCAGGGTTAGGACATGTTGTTGGGGGACGAATACATATATATATATATATATATGTATATATATATTATGTTTTGGTTCGCTTGCTAACTCACATGTACACAAAGAGACTCCGCTCTGTTGACCCACTGACCCCCTTGTAAAGCTTCGATGCAATCCGGGCGACAGTTTCAGAGGTGGCTGCTTCCGAGGCAAACCTGCCATTCAGGTGCTGTGGGACTTCGCCGCTTTTTCTGGCTGTGGCCTTAGATGAGGGCTGCTAAAGTCAGCGTCCGTACTGTGTGGAAGCTTTGAACCCTGTGCACACCCTGTGGCCGCTTTACATTTAACGGTCTCCAGCGTCTTAGACCCTGCCAGCAGAAGAGCAGAAGCCTCTGAACCATCAACTCCCTCAGTGCTACAGCGAGCCGCATACACAAGCCAGAAGCTTGAACCCCAGAAGCAGTGACCCCAAAGGCCCAACGCATCCGAAAACGTGGCGGCAAGCGCTGTTGTCCCCGACTGCGGACAGTGTTCCACAGCCTCAGGGCGCTTGCGACTAAACCCTCGATCCGAAGTGTCAAGGGTTCAGGGTTTAAAAGGGTTTAAAGGTATTTGGGTCTACTCCGCCCTACTCCGCCCTACTCCGCCCTGGCGGCCTGTCAGCCTCCAAGTTTCGGTTGATATGACTGCATAGTCGTGCTACAAATGCATGGCCAATACTGGGCACCTACTTTCCACAAGAACCCTGGTGTAAAGCCTCAACCCTCAAGCCCCCCGAAAGCAGCTGCGCCCCAGGCGAAGACAGCTGCACCTGGGCCTGAGCCGTTTCAGAGCTTCCAAAGCATGCTGTAAGGGTTTAGGGTTTGGGTTTTCGGGTTACGACTCCTTCAGGTGTAACAAAAGATGCTGCCTGCCGCGTCTTATGGGTTGCTGTACTCCTTCAACACATATTTTCAGGATTCCACCGTGATTCGAGGCGATGATCCTGAACGAGGTGTTGTTCTGGAAAGTCGATGGATCCGAAGGCTTACGAAAGCCCTGTGCAGATTAGAGGAGCCCCGCAACCACCAGGGCTGAGGGTTTGGGAGTTTTGGGGAGATAAAAACCCCGAAGCCTCAACCCTGTGAGGTTACTAGAAAGTTCGGGTGTTTGCGATGGTGCTTGGGTTGCCCCTTATATACCCTGTTACCAAGGGCCCCTACCTCAGAAATCTGAAGGTGAGGATACTAAGGGACGTGACTACGCCCTGAGCCTAAACATCAGGATTATGTCGGGATCGGGATAATCTGTCCTCTTTCCGATAACAATGGGGTTATCGGGAATCTTACTTAGGAATGAGTTATTTTTAGAAAGTTGATACCTCCCTACTAGACATGCCCCAAGCGCCTGCTCGTAGGCCTCCTGTCGCGCAGGCGCTGTCTCCTCCAAGGAAGCGTAGGGATCAGGGTTCAGGGGCGCTGGGAAGTGTGCGCTAGGAGCTAGAGAGTCTTCTGCTCTGTGGCATGGCAGGGGCATGTTGAGCGTCCGAGTCTCTCCAACGTAACCAACATAGCGACAAAACTCATACTCAAACCTTAAACCCTGAACCCTGAATGCCGGTAGTGGCGTTCGGGGTGTGGTTTAGGGCTTCATCTACAACTCGGGGTGGTTGGGTGGAGCATAGGGTTCGTTCGGGGATTATGGCCCACATCAAAGTAGCAGCGCTCTCCTGGATCCAGCTTTGCAAGGCTTGCGCCTTGTCCTCGACGAGTTCAGGGTGTAGGGTTCAGGGGGAAGAGTTGAAGGTTAAAGGTTAAGAGTAACCCGAACACACCGTTTCATCTTAGAATATAAAAGGAAGAGATATACACTGCACATATCATGTCCTAATTTATGTTAATTGAATCAATCGTTTGATTGAACATGTACAACTACAGAACATATTTTGCTGAACAGGCGGTGTTGCCCGGTGGGCGAACAGGCGCTCTCTTCCATAAAGAATTAACCTAGCATTCAGATTTTGCCGAAGCCCTAATCCCAAATTTCTTTTGGGACCTCAGTCGTGAAGGGCTCGTCAAACTTGCAAAACCCCAGCGTCTCGCGGGTCTGAGGAGGATTGACAAGTTGATAAGGGTTTAGGGTTTACGAACAGCCCCAAACCCTAAACCCTAACATGGCCAAGACAAGACAAGCCAAGTGTAAAAAGAATGACAGACAAACAAACAACAAATAAACACACAGCCACACGATGCTTTACAGGTTTGAGGTATTCAGCTTCAGATTCGGGGCAGGAGGCTTTAGGTCCAGCCTTTAAGGTTTTGGGGTTAGGCTTCAGGGTTCAGGGTCCAAAGCTTCGATTAGAAGCCATGAAGTTCTGAGTGGTTGGCGGACCACCGTAGCAGTGTTGATCCGGACGCACAAGAAGTTCAGCTTGCTGGAATGCAAGCCTTTAGCTTCCATCAGAACACCTTCAAGCTGCTGATATACATCATGCCTTGTAAGGTGACAGTCGAGGCGGCACATCAAGTCGTCTACAGAAGCCCTAAGCCGTTGACCTTACATATACATTTCCCAAGCTGCTGGCGCAATGAAGTCTGAAGGAGCGCAAACTTCAAACCCCGAAGTTTCTTTCGGCATTCGCTGGCGGGTCGAGCCATCGGCTTCTGAAAGGCCTTGCACTGAAACAGTCAGTGAAGTTGCAACTCTGGTGCTTACGTGCACCCCCCAATCCACTTGCTGGACTGGTCGCATGCCTCCCAAGGCACCTGTGGCCGGTCCTTGAGCATGCCATGCTCATCAAGCCATCCCAGCAGCGGAACGTCTTTTGCAGTCGGCGAGTAGAGGCCGTTGTAGCTTGGTGTGTTTCCAAGCAGCTGGCGGATCACAGGTTCGCGGACGTGAGCGAGCACTGTGTCCGTGGCCATGGAGTCTTTTGGGCGCATCCAGCGTGGCCCGAAGCCGTAGAAGAGGACTTTGCGGGAATGCGCATAAGGTTGCTCACCCAACGGCCCTGTGTGCCAGAGTCGCCGGTCAATGATCACTACAGACCCTGCATGCACGGGCAGAGGCGTGGCTCCTGGTGGCTGTTGCGTGGCTCCGCCATGTGCGTTGGGCATCGAGTTGTTAAGGTGGCTGCCTGGCACCACCCAGAATTGAGGGCTGCCAGGCTGCGTGGTGTCCGTCAGAAAAAAGCTCGCCTTCACCGAAAGACGTGGGCGAGGCTCCCCTTCAACGTCATCGTTAACACGGCCAGAGTCTTGGTGCCAGTGGTCCCCCAACGGCTCAGTCAAGTCCGAGGTGCTCAGAGGCGTGGACAAGGCCCGCGTGAACATGGCATGTGCATGATAGCAGTAGATGTTCCATCCCAGGATGCCAACAATCTTGCCGAAGACCTTCGGATGAACCAGCATCTTGACGAGCTCAGCATGGTAAAACGGCATATCGTGGCGCTTGTCAAATATCATGCCGTGCCAAGTGGTTCCCTCTGCAACCCCGCCCATGTACTCAGACCACTCATCCATCACGTTACTCAAGGATGTGACCTCGGCAGATGACAACACGCCGGGCAGGACCAAAAACCCATCAGCCTCAAAGCTGGTCCTCTCCTCATCTGAAAGGCCCTCGACCATGGCATCCATGGCGAGGCTGGCCAGGGCCTTCGCGCAGCGCCTGTATGAGGCAGTGGCCATGTACATGCCCGCGGCCAGGGCGGCCAGGAGGCAGCACAGGGGCCCAAGGAACTTTTGCTGCCCGGGCGAGGCCATTGTTGCCGGCAGCGGGCAAGCCCTAAACCCTTAAGGCTGAAGGGGTCCCAAGGCTGTGGCACCTACGCGAGGGTGGCAGAATCTTAAGGGGCATGTTGAAGCCATGGTTGTTAAACACGCTACATTCGAAGACCGAAACCCAAACCCGAAACTCGAAAATTCGACGGTTTCTGCATGGTCTTTTTGAAAGGGGCCATGTGCGTTCCTGGGCACCCGAGACTGCGACTATAGGTTTAGGTTTAAGGAGACACCAGTTCCCCACCAAGGGAGAGATGCCGAGCTCTATGCCGAAAGCCACGCGCGAACAGGAACCCTAAACCCTAAAGTGCTCAAACTCTCAACCCTACTTAAAGCCTAAAGTGCCATTCGGCCCCTCTGTCCTTGGCTTCCAATCTCAAATCTTGCAAGCCGAAGGAGCCGAGAAAAAAAAATCTGAAACCCGCCAACACTTAAACCCATAAACGCCTCACCCGAAACCCAGGCAAGTTTAGGGTTTAGGGTTTAGGGCTTGCAGAGTCCTCAGAATTCGGCAGGAAACAACCCAGGCCACGAGCTGACTTGTTAGCCTATTGCTCGACTTGCTGATTCTTTGCAGGGAACTGAATTGGGGAACTAGTCAGTTGTTGAAATTCAGAGGATCTGACTAAACCCCAGACCGCTATGAACCCAAAACCCTGCCGCAAAGAATGCAGAATTGCAACCCCCAGGTGGTGTAGGTGTTCGAGTACAGGGGTGTGGTCAAGGTTGGGGCCTGTTGAGCAAGAAAGGGTATTAAGTAATTCTTATTCTGATTATGCAAGGATTGTAACGGGCTAATCTTGGTGACTATTTGGGACCCCGTCGTCTCTGTAGTCAGCGGCTACTGCAGCCTTCCTTCACTCATGCGCAACGGTCCTGCACAACCTCAGACGCCTGCCCAGCTCTCTCCATGACCACAGGAGCGATCTTCTCCTCGTTTCATGGGAGACTGCTATGGGGTCCCTGAAGGTGTAACAAAAGCATGAGGACTAGACGTACAGGAAACGCCAAGCGCAAGGGACTGAGGATCTGGACAGGAGCCCAGAAGAGATCATGCTTCGGGGGCGCTTTTGGGGTGCAGTACAGAAGTCACGACAGTTACGAGGATGGCGCACCCACCTCAGGCACACCTGAGAGGCCGCATCCTCGTGAGTGTCGGCAGAAACTACCGCCCAAAACCCACGCCAAAACGCTGGGTTTCCGCAACTACAGTTCACGAACGCTTGCGGTCGCTTTCGAAAGGCACGATGGCGGGAAAACCCCTGGACCCCCGGAACACCAACTCTGAAAATGGGAACCCTTCTGCTACGCATCCGGGAAAACCTTCACCCTAATCGCCCGAAACACCCTAAACCCTAAACCCTAAAGCCCAAAGCCCCTAAACGCTAAACCCTAAACC